AGGACTCAGTTTGACTGTTAGTTTTAAAACAGTGGCAGATCATCTTCATTAAAATCAATATCTATACTAATTATGATTTTGTAGCCTTTGATTTTCCTAACCCATAGTCTATACCCGTTAACCCCTTCACCATACCTCAAGAATATACACTTAAGGGCCCCATGTTCTAACTTGCCTTCAGATTGATGTGCAAAGGCTGCATATCCAAAAACCCTCAAGTTATTAAAGTCAACATGTTTCCCTTTCGACATTTCTTTAGGGATTTTAAAGTTTATTGCACTAGAAGGGCATCTATTAATAAGATAACTTGTAGTTTCAATAGCTTCACCCCAAAATATCTTAGGCAAGCCATAACTTAAAAGCATACATCTCACTTTTTTCAAGAATAATTCTATCTATTCTTTCAGCCAAGCCATTTTGTTGTGGAGTGTGTGTCACAGTTCTGTGTCTTAACATGTCAGATAATTTGCACAACTCATCAAATTCAAAATTGCAGAATTCTAAACCATTATCTATTCTTAAAACTTTAATCTTTTTATCAGTTTGATTTTCTATCAAAACTTTTTATTCTTTGAAAATATTAAATGTGCCAGATTTTGATTTTAAAATAAAAGTCCAATCTTCTATGACCAACAAGTAATATTTAAAACCATTATTAGTAGGAACATAAGCTGGTCCCCAAAGACCAGCATGCAAATATTCAAATATAGACACAGATTGCAGAAAATGTAGTCTATTATGCTTTTCTAGAATGTAATAATCACAAAAACTGAGTTTTTCAATATTATATTTTTCAAAGACATCCTATTTTTTTTTTTCAAAATTTGCAGTCCTTTGTCACTAATATGGTCTAATCTTTTATGCTATATTTGTGATTTATCATTTTGGACTGAAATTGCTGCTGAAGTGGACTCTAAAAATTTTTAGTTTGTAAAATACATAGATCATGTCTCTTGGGAGCTTCAACAACCAAGTGAGAGTCTTTCAAGATTTTAATGTATCCCTTATTAATCACAATGTTATAGTTTAAATAATCTAAAACCCCCAAGGAAATTAGATTTCTTTGTAAATCATGAACATATCTAGTTCTTTCAAGAACCAGTTTATTATCACCCTTTATATTTAAAGAGATAGTTCCTATTCCTTCTACCTTACATGTTATGTGATTATCCATTAAAACCTTACCACCAGTCACATTTTCAAAATCTGTAAACCATTCTTTTGGACACATATGGTAGGTGCAACCTAAGTCAAGTATCCATTCTTGACATGGTGGACTGTTAACAGTAACATACACTTCATCAATATTAGGCTCATTATTATAGATTAGGGTTGCACCACCATCATCTTTAGACTTATTTTTCAAGTCATAAAGTCTTTTAGGACAATCTTTGATAAAATGACCATCTTCAAGACAATAAAAACATTTTTTTACTTTTTGCCTTCATTTTCATTTTATCGTTAAAATTTCCCTTCTTCGTGTGTCCAGGTTTCTTGTTAAAGTTGACATTTTTAGGATTGAACTTACACTTCATCATCAAATTTATGCCACTAACAGTTTCTTTCTTTTCAGATTTTAACTTTTATTCCTTAGATCTTAAGACATTAATGATCACATCAGTGGATAGAGTTTCCCTACAATATTCAATTGCATATTTAACATCTTTATATTAATCACCAAATGAATTTAAAAAAAACACAGCTAGCTGTCCACTTGAGAGTTTCTCCTCACAGCTATATTCAATAGCATTTTTAACATCTTTATATTTATTAGCAATTGAATTTAATAAAACCACAGCCAACTATCCACTTATGAGTTTCTCATCACAGTTGGTTAGGTCACGAGATAATATGTTGAATCTATTAATATTTGTTTCAAGGTTAAGAGATGGGTCCAGTTAAAAATCAAAGAATTGTTTCAAAAGATAGATATTATTAGGCATGGTTTTGTTAAAATAAGTGGTTTCCAATTTCTTCATCTTAGTTTCTCCAATTTCTCTAAGTACATTATCAGACAAATGCAGAACGATAGAGCTCCACACAGTTTCATCTTGTCCAGTTACTTTACTTGATTCAAGATCAGTTAGCCATGATTCATCAATGACTTTAGCATATTTTTGTTGTAATAGAATAACTTTCATTTTCTAGCGTCAAAGACTAAAGTCTCATTTACCATTAAAAACTTCCAGTTCAAATTTTGAGCTAGTCATTATTTAAAACTTATGAATGCAATATAGTATTTGCAGATCATACACTATACATGTGCTTGCAACTTAAAATAAATCAAGTATCACTACACAAGGGACACACAGTATATGCAGTAATTGCAAGTTGTAAAAGAAACTTCAATTATTTCACAAACAAAGAGATTATTCACAGTAATACGTTCACAGTGTTATATTCGACACATATCATGTACAAATCACAACTAGCATGCATTATACATCAATAAAAATCGCATCAAAGTAATAATATCAAGATCATTGACTTAAGTAAAGGTAACCCTCAGATTCCAGACAACTCTTAGAGTTTCTAAACAAAAGGAATTACCAAGATAGTCACATATCAAGGTTGTTAAACACAAGTACAGAGAACTTAAAGAGTATAAACACTTAATCTGTACTATTAACCGTAAAACAGAAACGATCTCATCGAATCCCCTTATTAAGGTTTCAAGAAATAACAAAGAGTAGCTTAAACTAGTGTCATAGCTAGCAGATCTACAAGAATCAGAGTCAAGAACTTCCGTTCAACCGCTCTGATACCACTGTTAAGAGGATGTTCAACAATATTAGCTCAATATCGACAAAAAATGTGCACAAATAAGAATTAAAGGAAGTACTGAAAAGTAAACTTGATTAATCGTTGCCCTAAGACAATAACCCAAATTACTCCAGTGTCTCTATCACTGAAAACAACCACCGTTCAAAATGGAACACAACCAAGGTAAAAAAATGAATAGATTTAGAAACTTAGACAATAACCACTAAAGATCACAGTAAATTAATCTTCACTCAAGAACACTTGTTCACACAAGAACATCACATTCAACTCAAAATAGAAATCACTCAAGATTACAACATTTGAGAGAAACCACAAAATTAAAAGAGAGTTTTGATTTTTCAGAGAGAATGAGAGTCAAGAGCTCGAAATGCAAGCCCTATGAGGCCTTTTAAATGAGTCACCCAAAGGTCTCCATCCAACAGTTTTGGAGATGACACTTGATGACATATGGAGCATCCATTTCAAATAAGGGAGAAACACGGCTTTACTAATTAAAACACGACTTTGCACCATTGTGCCAACCTTTCAACAATCAAAGAATCAGTCAACTGGTCAACATTCCAGTCAGCAGGTTAATTGGCATCATTGTGCCAACCTTTCAATTTCAAGACCTTCGATGAGTCTTATTTCAAAATTGTGGCAAAAGAAGAGGGCTTTTGGAGTCGAACGAAGCTCTACTAGATGATATTGAAACAAAAGCATATCTTGAATTTCAAGCTCTATCTCATGGATCTACTTTTTTCAAAGATTTTGGGGAGTCCATGGTGAAAATGGGCAGGATTAATGTGCTTACAGATAAAGAAGGTGAAATCAGAAGAGTGTGTACTAGGGTTAACTAAGAACAACTTTAATCCATGGTGAAAATGGGCAGGATTAATGTGCTTACAGATAAAGAAGGTGAAATCAGAAGAGTGTGGACTAGGGGTTACTAAGAACAACTTTATTCAATCGTCCACGCACCAGCATGTTTGATTTTGATTAAAAGTTACTTGTAAAATAAAAGTAAATTAAGCACAACTCCATGCGCTTGATCTATCTTTTTCCTCAGAATAAGAAGATTACGTGACTTTTTAATTATTTATTCTTCAAATTTTTTAGTTTGACGGTACTGACAGAGTATAATCGTCGGATTTGTAGACTGAATTTTCCCACTGCTAATTATGTTAGTAATTTGATGTTCCTTCTAACAAATAATAAAAAATAATTTGTTGAAGTATCTCGTATCAAATATGAAAATTTTATATTGCTGTTTCCGTGTTTTCTAGTAATAATTGATAAGCTTTTTTTTTTTTTTTTGCATACGAAAAAAGGCATATTGAAAATCAAATTCTAAAGCTACGTAATGTTGACTCGATTGCTTAATGCCTTATGAATTGATCAAAAAACTACTTTAGTGAAGTGGATCATAACTTTTTGTCCAACTAATTTTTCAATAAACCCAATCAATTTTCAGCTATGCTTTTCAGCTGCTTACATAATAAGGGCAATTATTCTATCCTTGGAAGTGTCCTTCCTTAACGGGAGTCTTCAATCTATGTCTTGTGCAAATGGTTTCTAATCTGTCTTTCATGCAAATGGGTCCTCAAGACCTTTCCCCAATTTGGTGCAGTCGATATGGAAATAATTTCTTGATTCGACTACAAATACCAAAATTAAGATCGCAAATTTGAAATAACCCAGACCGTAAGAATTTTTTATTGATACTTGACTGTCTTAGTGGCACAAAATTGTTGATTAGATAGGAGATTATTACAATACTTCAAGGAGAATGGATATAATTGGCGCTAGACATAATCACCATATCAATCACACTGCACTGCACAGTATGGAAGAATGGATTTGGTTGTGGCATAGAATCAGGGCTCGTATCATGTAATCAGCCGCGGTTGTGGTCGACCGCTATTTACCCCGAGCTTAAATTAGTTAAAAATTTGTAAGAAAAGTAAAGCAAACCGTCCAACCTGTCGTTTAACTTGATCCTTACTTTTCGACGTAGGTATGAACATGCACACTTTTTTTGTATTTGAATATTTTTAGTGCACAAAATATTCATCTATAAAACAGCATAACGGCCACAAGCATATATATATGTTTTGTCAACTTCCAGCCATGCACATGCCTCTCCAAATCTATCTCTTTTCATAATCCAGAACCCTGAATTTAAATTCTGAATCAGTTTCTTGAAGATTTAATTTAGTTACACAGTTACACTACAAATGGTTAACTGGAAAATTTGTGAAACTAACTCCCGCATCTACTGCTGGTTTTTTCAGGTAATAACAGTGTTAATTTTGGTTTCTGTAGTTATATGGCGCTGTCTAATCCCAAGAAATCCATCTTTCACCATTGCAAACATATACTTTCCTTCTCTAAATTCTAAGAATTCCTCTGTTGGAAACTCTTCTCTAATACTTTTCGATTTCAAAATCTTGAATCCTAACAAAGGTATTAGCATATACTATGATGGGATCTCCTTGAGTTTATATTTCAAAGATGTCTTTGTTGGGACAAATTCTACGCCACCATTTTATCAAGGGCACAAGAACAATACTTCATGGAAAATACCTATAAAGGCTGACCCAGCCGTGGTCGACCGGAATTTTCAGCAAGGACTAAGAGGTGGAAATATAGATTTTAAAGTGGGGGTGGAAACTGCAGTTAAGTTTAAGATATTCAGCTGGAAAACAAAGGAGCATCAGATAGGATGTGAAGCATATTTTACCAGTATGAAAATCAGTTTCAATGGGAGCTTATCAGGTGGGAATGATATGAAGCTGCACCAGATACGAAAGCCACGTTCTAGAGTGTGTAATTGAGTTTTGCTCAGCCAGCAGAGAAAATACTAAAATTGTCGTGAAATCAAACTTAGAAATTTGTCTTTGTTTTCTTTTTCTTTTATTAATGTTAATCAGGAATCGAAAAACATGATGCTCAACTATTCGGAAATTATATTATTATTCACTGAGTGAATACAATGCTGTATAATAGTGGTCAAGTAGAGTGCGAAGGTTTTGAATAAAAATTTTCAGACAATTATAAAAATTTTGTGTCACGGATATGATGAAAAAGGAATATGCTATCTAAAAATTTAAGTTTTTTAGACAATGTGCAAGATTTTTCAACAGACTGATCACAGAATATAAATTGTTAATGTATAATAACGAGTAAAAGCAAAACAAGATGACATGAAAAAGGAAAAGTTTGACTCGGCATAACTTGTATCCAGCTTTAGCAAAAGTATTACACATCATGTTACTTTCATTCTACATGTTGCGATTTTACGTATGAAACCACTTACTAAAGTGAACTATAAAGCATAAACGTACACAAGCAGTAAACAAATGAACAAGAACACAAAAGATGTTAACCCAGTTTAGCCAAAATGGCCTAATTTGGGGGGGCTCATGAGCAACCCGTTCCACTAGTGCAAAACTACCTTCTAAGAGAGAAATATTACATCAAACCACTCAGTTCCAGTTTTGTTCATAGATCGAACGTTCTCACAAAACAGAGAATTCAAAACTCACAAATCCAACCCAAACACTTAGAGATAACCTACACAAAATCAGCCTCTATTTCAAGCCTGATTATCACACAAGATTCACCTCTAAAACCGGATAAATCTATTACAGAGAACACCATAACAAGAAGAAAAATTACAGACTCAAGCGAGGAAGCCAAAGAGACAGAAAGTCGAAGAGTCCAGAATCAGAAAAGTAAAGACTCGACAGTAACCCAACAGACGATATTATTACAGGACTAAATCTCAGCCATTGGTTTCATCTAACGGTCCAAATTAATTCAAACTAGCACAATCCGTGTGAGGGCCCAGCTACCAATAAATGGTTGCCACACAAGCGAGTTTAACCAAATAAGCAACAGACCTCAATTGACACAAATAGCACCAATTTTAAATGTTTTTGAAAAACACAACTTTCACATTCTTCACCTTGGTTCTCAATAACATACTCTTTTGGTTGCAGAATTGCACATGGATAGTCTATTCATCATCAATGCCCAGTACTTGCAAAGAAAGTTATATTGTATCAATATGTAGTAAAGATAAACCCAGTTTAAACTTACCTACATCCATAATTTTAGTCCCCATATGTGAAAGATTTTTATCAGAATGTATTTTAAGATTAACTTTACCTTCGGATAATTTTTCTCTAATAAAATGATAATTCACCTCAATATGTTTTGATCTTTCATGATAGACATGATTTTTGCTAAGTAAGAGAGCACTTTGACTATCAGTAAACATTGTACGAGTATCATACATGAAGTTCAATTCTTTTAAAATGCCTTTTAACCAAATATATTCCTTAACATCTTCCGTTATGGCTACATATTCAGCTTCAATGCTGAATAATGTAACTAAAGGCTGCAATTGAGATTTCCAAGTTTTGCAATTGTCACCAAGACTAAAGAAATATGTTGTTGTTGATTTTCTGCTATCCTTATCATCAACAAAATCAGCATCTACAAAATTTCAGATCTTTTCTCATATACTAAGCCTAAATTTAATGTTCCAACTATATATCTTAACAACTATTTCATTCCAGCCCATGAGGCTTTCCAGATTAGACACAAATCTACTTAAAAAAAACTAATTACATAAGCAAGGTCAGGTCTGATTGTTATCATAGAAAACATGATTGAACCTATTGCATTTGCATATGGTATGTTTTCCATCTCTTTCAATTCTTCCTCAGACTTAGGAGAGTGAGAATAAGAAATATTCATGTGACCAGCAAAAGGAACATTAATAGTATTGCTCTCTTTCATCCCGAATTGGTTACAACTTTCTTCAGATATGCTTCTTGAGTAATAGTTAATTTGTTGTTAGGCACATTTCTATTTATAACCATTCCTTGAATTTGTCTAGCACTTTCTAAATCTTTCATATCAAACTCAGATTTTAAAAGATCCTTCAATTTTATGATTTGAAACTTGTTGGGGCTAGCTAAAAGCATATCATCGACATAAAGCAGTAGGTAAACTTCACACCCACTCTTAATGTTGTTATAGTATAAGCAAGCATCAAAATCAATTCTTTTAAAACCTATCTTCACTACGTATGCATCAAACCTTTTGTACCATTGTCTTGAGCTTTGTTTTGGCCTATATAACAATTTCTCCAATTTGCGTACATAATCAGCTTTATTCTTTACCTCAAAACTTTGAGGCTGACTCATGGAGATCTCTTTTTCCAACTCTCCATGTAAAAATACAGTTTTAACATTCATTTATTCAAGTTCCTAACTGAATTGAACAACTAGTGCCAAAACCTGCCTGATTGTCTTATATTGGATTACAGGTGAGAATATCTCATTGTAATCAACCCATTTTCTTTGAGTATACCATTAGCCACTAATCTAGCTTTAAACCTCATAGGATCACTAGGGCTGTTACCCTCTTTAAGTTTGTAAATCCATTTACATTGTATTATTTTGTGATTTTTATGTTTCTGAACCAATTTTCATGTTTTATTATCAATTAAAGATTGCATTTCTTCTTGCATAGCCTTTATCTAATTCTCAGATGTTTTCCCATTAACTACTTCTTCATAAGATGCAGGTTCAGTTTGTTTAAAAGCTTCACCTGAGACTAAGGCAAAGTCAGTCAGGTTCAATAACTAGGGATGTCAATTCGAACCTGTGAAAACCAAAAATCGCGGTTAACCGAATCGAATGGAGTGAAAAAATCGAACCAATAGTGCAATGGGGTGGTTATGGTTTTAATTTTAATGACCCAGTTCGTGGTGGGACGGGTATGGTATTTAACAACGGTGCCACGCCCCGAGCCGATTACCCTCTAAAAAAAATAAATTTAATTGGACAATTTTAGTTTTTTTTTT